GAGAGAGAGAGAGAGGGAGAGAGAGAGAGAGAGAGAGAGAGAGAGAGAGAGAGAGAGAGAGAGAGAGAGAGAGAGAGAGAGAGAGAGAGAGAGAGAGAGAGAGAGAGAGAGAGAGAATGGGGGGGGGGGGAAGAGGGGGCGGGCGGGAGGGGAAAGGGCCTGTCCGAAACTAATTGGGTGCGTGTGTGCATGTCATTTCCTCACTCCACTCAACCCCTTCCCCTCCCTTCCCCGGCCCTGGCCCGTTATCGTCCCCTCCCCTACCCCTTACACACCACCACACAATCAGCTGATCAGTCCACGCGGCAACGTTTCATTACACACTTCCGGCCTCCACCAACGCAACCGGCAACGTTCCTCCGGGAAAATAGATCTTTCCCTTTTCTCCCCGCGTACACGTACACGTTCACGCACACGTACACACACACACACAAGCTTCTCTTCCAGCAGTATCAAGGCGTCTAAACAGCCAGATCTGCTAACCAGTTGGTTAATTAATCTAAGCCACAACAACGTAAACAAATAAACAGACATAAAAAGAAACAAAGAACGAAAAAAAAAAAAATTGGCGGTCAAGATATCCCCAACTCATTTAGATTAGCGGAGGCGCGATAATGGGACTCGGAGGGCGAGGTGACTACGAGGCTGATGACTGACGATGATGACTGACAATGATGACGAACGAGTGTTAATAATAATAATGATGAGGATGACGGAGACCACCACAAGGTTAAATAAATAAATAACATGTTCTGTTCTGCATGGAATGCAGAACTAGACTTTAAAAAAAGAAAGAAAGAAAAAGTGTGAAGATTAAAATATTGAATTTTAGTGAGAGTATAGAATAAGAGAGGGGGGGGGAGGCGATTGTGTTAAAAGCGACGCTGTACCAACACTATATGGTGATAACGGTAAATTAACAAACTTAGGAAGAGTCGACGAGGAGGAGGAACAACAACAACAACAACAACAAAAAAGAAGAAGGAAGACGGGGGAGGGATGCAAGAACCAGACAAGTCTGAGTCACACGGAAGGGTTTCGAGACGTCCAGAGCGTTACTCCAAGTGGGCCGCGCCGGCATTCGAAAGAGGTAGCCGGCGGGTGGCTCTGCATGGGAAGAGAGGAGAGGCGGAGAGATGACACAGAGGAGGGGAAGGAAAAGGAGGGGAGGGAGATGGGGGGTGAAAGGGGTGGGGGAAAGGCGGGGAGGAGGAGGGGAGGGAAAGGGGGGGAAAGGCGGAGGGAGGATGGGGGGAAAAGGCGGAGGGAGGAGGGGAGGGAAAGGGGGAAAAGGCGGAGGGAAGAGGGGAAGGAAAGGGGAGAAAAGCGCAGGGAGGAGGGAGATGAGGCGCCTGGGGCGAGGAGGAGAAGAGGGGGAGATCAAGTGGGGAGATAGCGGCAAGGGTCTGAGAAAGGAGAGAACCATGCACTTAGGACGGCTTAAAAGATAGGGAGGGAAAGAAGGGGAGACCGAAGCACAAAAAAAAACGAATTAGAATGATAAGGGAAGCGAAAAAGTGGAACGAGATAAAGAAACAGACACAATAATAAAGACTGGGATAGGGATAGGGATAGGGATAGGGATAGGGATAGGGATAGGGATAAGGGATAAGGGATAGGGAGACACTGGGCACTCAACGAAAATTCAAACCCTTCGAGCAATGACAAGAGGCGCGGAGTGCAAGGGCAATACACTACAGAAAGCAGGAGCAAAGAGTGAAGGAAAAGAAAAAGAGAAAAGGACAATAATGAAGGCAAGCGGCGCTGGTGATGGATGAGGGGCGGATCCGCGGAGGCCAGGTGTCGCATCCAGGTACATAAACCCCTTTCTTCCTTCCTCCTTCCTTCCTCCCTCCCCTTCCTCCTGCTCTCCACTCCACTCTTCCCTTGCCCTCCCGCCCTTCTCTTCTTAGTCTGCTGACCCTTGGCCCTGGTCTACCGTCCTCGTTCGCATATCATTCCCTATCTTCCGCTCGAACTAGTATTTCCTTCCTCCGTCCTCCCCCCCCCTCTCCCTCTCGCTCAGTCCACCCCCACGGAGACCTAAGAAGCACAGGGCAGATGGGCGGGAAGGGGGCAAAGCGAGAGGGGTGAGGGGAAGGAGAGGAAACGCCTGTCACAGCTTCCCTGCCTCTGCTGATGTCCCTCTGATCCCTCGCCGCTCTCCGCCGCTCTCCTCCCCTCTCCTCCTAACCTCTCCCCCCTCTCCTCCTCTCCTCCTCCCCTCTGCCTCCCCTCTCCCCCCTCTCCTCCTCCTCCTCCTCCTCCTCCTTAACCCTACCCCGCCCCATCCCGGTCACCGGAGTATGGGACAAGTGAAAGGGAAGGTCGTAAGGTAGGACAAGATACTGAGAAGCAAAGGTGAAAACAAAGGAAAGGGAAATAAAAGAAATGGTATAGGAAAATCAACAGAAACGAACACGATGCCGACTGGCCTAAATAATCAACGAACGTAAAGAAAAGAAAGAACACAGGTAAAGAGCCGAGACCAAGCACGCCGGACCACGTGGCGGCCGTCGCATCGTATACATTATAAAACC